TGGAAGTCTGGATTTTTTGGGAATTCACCTCGTCGGCTCCGAAGGGTTTGGGTTTGAGGGCGGGCACGTGAACCTCCTCGTATCCTTTCCGTTGTCTCCGGAATGATCCGTCCGGGAGCTGGCAGCGCTTGTTGGCCATGAAGTGACTGCCCTGGGAGAACACCAAATCCTCCAAATCCAGCACCTGCCTGGGAGCCAGAGCCTGGAAAACAACGGGAAAACACGGAAAAATGAAATAGAGGATAAGGTGGGAATGGGAAAATTGGGAAAATGAAATAGAGGATAAGGTGGGAATGGAAAAAATAAAATAAAAGGTTAAGGTGTGAATGGAAAACCTCAAAAAATCGAAATAAAGGATAAGGTGTGAATGGAAAAATAAAAAAAAAACAAAATAAAGGATAAGGTGTGAATGGAAAAACCAAAAAAATCGAAATAAAGGATAAGGTGTGAATGGAAAAATAAAAAAAAAACAAAATAAAGGATAAGGTGTGAATGGAAAAATAAAAAAAACCAAAATAAAGGATAAGGCGTGAATGGAAAACCAAAAAAATCAAAATAAAGGATAAGGTGTGAATGGAAAAATAAAAAAAAAACAAAATAAAGGATAAAGTGTGCCTGGAAAAACCAAAAAAATCAAAATAAAGGATAAGGTGTGCCTGGAAAATCCCAGAAAAACAAAATAAAGGATAAGGTGTGAATGGAAAAACCAAAAAAAATAGAAATAAAGGATAAGGCGTGAATGGAAAACCAAAAAAATCAAAATAAAGGATAAGGTGTGCCTGGAAAAAATCAAAATAAAGGATAAGGTGTGAATGGAAAACCTAAAAAATCAAAATAAAGGATAAGGTGTGAATGGAAAACCTAAAAAATCAAAATAAAGGATAAGGTGTGAATGGAAAACCTAAAAAATCGAAATAAAGGATAAGGTGTGAATGGAAAACATCGGGAAAACATGGAAAAATAAAGAAAAGGATAAGGTGTGAATGGGAAAATTCGGAAAAATAAAATAAAGGATAAGGTGTGAGTGGAAAAACCAAAAAAAATCAAAATAAAGGATAAGGTGTGGATGGAAAAATAAAAAAAAACAAAATAAAGGATAAGGTGTGAATGGAAAACAGCGGGAAAACATGGAAAAATAAAGAAAAGGATACGGCGTGAATGGGAAAATTCGGAAAAATAAAAGAAAGGATAAGGTGTGCCTGGAAAAACCAAAAAAAATCAAAATAAAGGATAAGGTGTGGATGGAAAAATAAAAAAAAACAAAATAAAGGATAAGGTGTGAATGGAAAAACCAAAAAAATCAAAATAAAGGATAAGGTGTGGATGGAAAAATAAAAAAAAACAAAATAAAGGATAAGGTGTGAATGGAAAAAATCAAAATAAAGGATAAGGTATGAATGGAAAAACAAAAAAAATCAAAATAAAGGATAAGGTGTGAATGGAAAAACCAAAAAAATCAAAATAAAGGATAAGGTGTGAATGGAAAAACCCAAAAAAATCGAAATAAAGGATAAGGTGTGCCTGGAAAACATTGGAAAAATTCAGAAAAAGAAAATAAAGGATAAGGTGTGCCTGGAAAAACCCGGAAAAAACGCTTTTTGGGTGTGGCTGGGGGTGTTTAATGTGAGTAAATCCAAGGATTTTACCTCTCCTCCCTGGTCTAGATCCATGGATTCCAGGTCGGTGTCCATGCGGGATTGCCGCACGCGTTCCCGCCGGGAGCGTTCTTCCTGTGGGGAAAAATCGGGATTCAGCCCCGGGAAAAGGGATCAGCCTCATCCCAAGGTGCTCCTGATCCCTCAATTTCCTTGGGAATAAACCAGGAATGACCATTTTTGGTGGGAAAAGCAAAATTCCCCTCAGAAATTTGGCTCCTGCCCCACTCCTGAGGGGAAAAAATGGGATTTAGCCTCAAGGAAGAGGCTCAGCCTTGTCCAAAGTGCTCCTGATCCCAAATTCCTTTGGAAAAAGGCATCCTTAAACCAGGAATGACCATTTTGATAAACCAGGAATGACCTTTTTTGTTGGGAAAAGCAAAATTCCCCTCAGAAATTTGGCTCCTGCCCCACTCCTGAGGGGAAAAAATGGGATTCGGCCTCAAGGAAGAGGCTCAGCCTCCTCCAAAGTGCTCCTGATCCCAAATTCCTTTGGAAAAAGGCATCCATAAACTAGGAATAACCATTTTGATAAACCAGGAACAACAATTTTTGGCGGGAAAAGCGAATTTCCCCTCAGAAATTTGGCTCCTAACCCATTCCTGAGGGGAAAAAATCAGGATTCGGCCTCAAGGAAGAGGCTCAGCCTCATCCAAAGTGCTCCTGATCCCAAATTCCTTTGGAAAAAGGCATCCCTAAACCAGGAATGACCATTTTGATAAACCAGGAATGACCATTTTTGGTGGGAAAAGCAAAATTCCCCTCAGAAATTTGGCTCCTGCCCCACTCCTGAGGGGAAAAAATGGGATTCGGCCTCAAGGAAGAGGCTCAGCCTCGTCCAAAGTGCTCCTGATCCCAAATTCCTTTGGAAAAAGGCATCCATAAACCAGGAATAACCATTTTGATAAACTGGTAACAACAATTTTTGGCGGGAAAACCAAATTTCCCCTCAGAAATGTGGCTCCTGACCCATTCCTGAGGGGAAAAATCAGGATTTGGCCCTGGGAAAAGGGGTCAGCCTCATCCCAAGGTGATCCTGATCCCTCAATTTCCTTGGGAATAAACCAGGAATGACCATTTTTGGTGGGAAAAGCAAAATTCCCCTCAGAAATTTGGCTCCTGCCCCACTCCTGAGGGGAAAAAATGGGATTCGGCCTCAAGGAAGAGGCTCAGCCTCCTCCAAAGTGCTCCTGATCCCAAATTCCTTTGGAAAAAGGCATCCATAAACCAGGAATAACCATTTTGATAAACTGGTAACAACAATTTTTGGTGGGAAAACCAAATTTCCCCTCAGAAATGTGGCTCCTGACCCATTCCTGAGGGGAAAAATCAGGATTTGGCCCTGGGAAAAGGGATCAGCCTCATCCCAAGGTGATCCTGATCCCTCAATTTCCTTGGGAATAAACCAGGAATGACCATTTTTGGTGGGAAAAGCAAAATTCCCCTCAGAAATTTGGCTCCTGCCCCACTCCTGAGGGGAAAAAATGGGATTCGGCCTCAAGGAAGAGGCTCAGCCTCCTCCAAGGTGCTCCTGATCCCAAATTCCTTTGGAAAAAGGCATCCTTAAACTAGGAATAACCATTTTGATAAACCAGAAACAACAATTTTTGGCAGGAAAACCGTATTTCCCCTCAGAAATGTGGCTCCTGACCCATTCCTGAGGGGAAAAATCAGGATTTGGCCCTGGGAAAAGGGATCAGCCTCATCCCAAGGTGCTCCTGATCCCAAATTCCTTTGGAAAAAGGCATCCATAAACCAGGAATAACCATTTTGATAAACTGGTAACAACAATTTTTGGCGGGAAAACCAAATTTCCCCTCAGAAATGTGGCTCCTGACCCATTTCTGAGGGGAAAAAATGGGATTCGGCCTCAAGGAAGAAGCTCAGCCTCCTCCAAGGTGCCCCTATTCCCCAGTTTCTTTGGGAAAACCTTTGGGAAAAGGCCTCCATAAACCAGGACCGAGCACTGTGGATGTTTTGTGGGATTTGAGGGGGTTTTGGGGTGATTTGGGTGAGATTTTGAAGGAATTCGCCTGCGAAGGAGGCCCTGGGAAAGCAGAAGCGGCGACGGCAGCGTCGCTTCCCTCAGACTTCGTGGGGAGGATTCCAGCCCCCGTTTCCCACCCAAAACCGGATCCCAGCAATCCCACAAATCCCACAGAGCTTCCCTTACCCGGATCAGATCCTCTTTCTCCGTCTCGTGGAGCTGGTAGAGGAACTTGGAGAGCTCGGGGTCGGCCTCCATCTTCCCCATGATCCGCTCCTTCTCCGCCTCGCTCTGCGCGCTGGCCAGCAAGGTGCAGTACAGGACTGGGGCGGGGGGGGGAAAAAACCGGGAAAAACATGGAAAAACGGATCCAAACCTGCCGGAATTCCACTGGAAAAGGGGGGAAAAAACTCACTCATCATCCGGTGCTGCCGCAGGACTTTGATGAAGTCGAAGGTGTTGAAGCCCAGCAGCAGCACCAGTTGGTTCTCGCATTCCCGGTCGTCGCTGGCGGTCTGAGGAGGGAAAAATGTGGAATTTTTCACGGCAGGATCCCTGTTTTCCGTGGGATGGGGGAGAGGGGAGGTGGGGAAATGTGGGAAGGGAGAGGAAAACAAGCATGGAAGGTGGAAAACTATCCTGGAGCCTGGAAAAAGAATCCCGAAAATTCACATTTTTCGCTCAAAACCCCATGGAAGTGGCTCGTGAGGGAAAGCAATCCCAAAAATTCCCATTTTTCGCTCAAAACTCGGGAATCAGGAGGGGAACACCCCATGGACGTGGCTCCTGAGGGAAAACAATCCCAAAAATTTAAATTTTTCACTCAAAACTCAGGAATCAGAGTGGGAACACCCCATGGAGGTGGCTCCTGAGGGAAAACAATCCCGAAAATTCCAATTTTTCACTCAAAACTTGGGAATCAGGGTGGGAACACCACATGGACATGGCTCCTGAGGGAAAACAATCCCAAAAATTTAAATTTTTCACCAAAAACTCAGGAATCAGAGTGGGAACACCCCATGGACGTGGCTCCTGAGGGAAAACAACCCCGAAAATTTAAATTTTTCACCAAAAACTCAGGAATCAGAGTGGGAACACCCCATGGAGGCGGCTCCTGAGGGAAAACAATCCTGAAAATTCACATTTTTGGCCCAAAACTCGGGAATCAGAGTGAGAATACCTCATGGAGGCGGCTCCTGAGGGAAAACAATCCCAAAAATTCCCATTTTTCATCCAAAACTTGGGAATCAGGAGGGGAACACCCCATGGAGGTGGCTCCTGAGGGAAAACAATCCCAAAAATTTAAATTTTTCACCAAAAACTCAGGAATCAGAGTGGGAACACCCCATGGAGGCGGCTCCTGAGGGAAAACAATCCTGAAAATTCACATTTTTGGCCCAAAACTCGGGAATCAGGGTGGGAACACCACATGGAGGCGGCTCCTGAAGTAAAAAAATCCCAAAAATTCACATTTTTCACCCAAAACTCGGGAATCAGGGTGGGAACACCACATGGAGGCGGCTCCTGAGGGAAAACAATCCCAAAAATTCCCATTTTTGGCCCAAATCTTGGGAATCAGGGTGGGAACACCACATGGAGGTGGCTCCTGAAGTAAAACAATCCCAAAATTTCCCATTTTTCAACCAAAACTCGGGAATCAGGAGGGGAACACCCCATGGAGGTGGCTCCTGAGGGAAAACAATCCCGAAAATTTAAATTTTTCACCAAAAACTCAGGAATCAGAGTGGGAACACCCCATGGAGGTGGCTCCTGAGGGAAAACAATCCTGAAAATTCACATTTTTGGCCCAAAACTCGGGAATCAGGGTGGGAACACCACATGGAGGCGGCTCCTGAAGTAAAAAAATCCCAAAAATTCCCATTTTTCACCCAAAACTCGGGAATCAGGGTGGGAACACCACATGGAGGCGGCTCCTGAGGGAAAACAATCCCAAAAATTCCCATTTTTGGCCCAAAACTTGGGAATCAGGGTGGGAACACCACATGGAGGTGGCTCCTGAAGTAAAACAATCCCAAAATTTCCCATTTTTCAACCAAAACTCGGGAATCAGGAGGGGAACACCCCATGGAGGTGGCTCCTGAGGGAAAACAATCCCAAAAATTTAAATTTTTCACCAAAAACTCAGGAATCAGAGTGGGAACACCCCATGGAGGCGGCTCCTGAGGGAAAACAATCCTGAAAATTCACATTTTTGGCCCAAAACTCGGGAATCAGGGTGGGAACACCACGTGGAGGCGGCTCCTGAAGTAAAAAAATCCCAAAAATTCCCATTTTTCACCCAAAACTCGGGAATCAGGGTGGGAACACCACATGGAGGCGGCTCCTGAGGGAAAACAATCCTGAAAATTCACATTTTTTGCCCAAAACTCGGGAATCAGGGTGGGAACAGACCCCAGGGGAGACGATTTCCCAGGAAAAACCCCTCGGGGAAACAAACCCCTGGGAACTCAGGGATCGACACCGCCACCAAACCCAAATAGGGGACAAAAATTCCCACGGAACGCCACAAACCACCCGGAATTCCAGCCAAATTCCCACTTTTTGCAGGGAGAACTCTTCCCAGATCCCGAGGATGCGGAGGCCACGCACCTTGAGGATCTCCAGGACCTCATCCGCCTTTTTCTGGGAGACGATGGCGTCGTCGTAGAAGCGGCTGAGCTGACGCTGCAGCCAGAAGGCGTCGATGTCCCGCGGGTGCAGGTCCTTCTTCTTGGAGCTCATCAGCTCCCCTGCTGCCACCAGCTGGAAAATCCCAAAAATTCCCAACATTCCCATGATTTGGGAACGTTTGGGGCCACGAAATCCCAAAAATTCCCATTAAAATCCCATTAAAATCCCATTATTCCCAAGGTTTTGATGTCCTGCAGGTGCAGGTTCTTCTTGGAGCTCATCAGCTCCCCTGCTGCCACCAGCTGGAAAATCCCAAAAATTCCCAACATTCCCGTGATTTGGGATCATTCAGGATGATGAAATCCCAAAATTTCCCATTAAAATCCCATTAAATCCCATTAAAATCCCATTAAAATCCCATTATTCCCAAGGTTTTGATGTCCTGCAGGTGCAGGTTCTTCTTCTTGGAGCTCATCAGCTCCCCTGCTGCCACCAGCTGGAAAATCCCAAAAATTCCCAACATTCCCATGATTTGGGATCATTCAGGACCACGAAATCCCAAAATTTCCCATTAAAATCCCATAAAAATCCCATTTTTTCCCTGTGTTTGGGGTGGAAAGGGAGCTTGGAAAAAACCCCAAAATTCCCATAAAAATCCCATTAAAATCCCATAAAAATCCCATAAAAATCCCATAAAAATCCCATAAAAATCCCATAAAAATCCCATTATTTCCCTGTGTTTGGAGCCAGGGTTTGGGGTGGAATGGGAATGTTTAGGGACACAAAATCCCCAAAATTCCATTAAAATCCCATTAAAATCCCATAAAAATCCCATTAAAATCCCATTATTCCCATTTGGGGTGCTGGAGTCCGGGTTTGGGGTGGAATGGGAATGTTTAGGGACACAAAATTCCCAAAATTCCCATAAAAATCCCATTAAAATCCCATTAAAATCCCATAAAAATCCCATTTTTTCCCTCTGTTTGGAGCAGAACAGGAGCTTGGAAAAATCCCCAAAATTCCCATAAAAATCCCATTTTTTCCCTGTGTTTGAAGCAGAACAGGAGCTTGGAAAAACCCCCAAAATTCCCATAAAAATCCCATTTTTTCCCTCTGTTTGGGGTGGAATGAGAGCTTGGAAAAAACCCCAAAATCCCCATAAAAATCCCATAAAAATCCCATAAAAATCCCATAAAAATCCCATTATTTCCCTGTGTTTGGAGCCAGGGTTTGGGGTGGAATGGGAATGTTTAGGGACACAAAATTCCCAAAATTCCCATAAAAATCCCATTTTTTCCCTGTGTTTGGGGTGGAATGAGAGCTTGGAAAAAACCCCAAAATTCCCATAAAAATCCCATTTTTTCTCAGCTTTGGTGTTTTGAGCCAGGATTTTGGGGTGGCACGGGAAAAATTTGGGGACAAAACCTGGGAAAACCCCCAAAATTCCCAGAAATCGGCCCAGAATTCCCAAAATTCCCTGGAAAAATCCCAAACTGACGTTGGCAGAGAGCGTGCAGCGAACCACGGCCTCGTCCCCTTCCAGGTCATCGTCCGAAGCCTCATCCCGAACTTCTCCATAAATGTCCTCGTCCCCTTCCTGGAAAAACATTTCCAATGGAATATTCCAAAAATCCCATTTTTATCCCTCTTTTCCCACCCCAAAATCCCTTTTTTCTGTCAAAAAATTCCGTTTTTTAACCATTCTTTTTCCCCCAAAAATCCATTTTTTCTGCCCAAAGTGGAATATTTCAGGGTTCCCAGCCAAAAATCCCATTTTTTTATTGAAATAATTCCTTTTTGATCCCTTTTTTCTCTCAAAAATCCTATTTTTACCTCTCTTTTCCTGCAAAAATCCCTTTTTGACCCCTTTTTTCCCTCAAAAATCACCATTTTCACCCCTCTTTTCCCTCAAAAAATCCCTTTTTGATCCCTCTCTTCCCTCAAAAATCCGTTTTTGATCCCTTTTTTCCCCTCAAAACTCCCTTTTTTCCCTCAAAAATCCCCTTTTCATCCCTCTTTTCCCTCAAAAATCCCCATTTTTACCCCTCTTCTCCCTCAAAAAATCCATTTTTGATCCCATTTTTCCCTCAAAACTCCCATTTTTACCCCTCTTTTCCCTCAAAAATCCCATTTTTACCTCTTTTCCCTCAAAAATCCATTTTTGATCCCTCTTTTCCCTCAAAATTTTTATTTTTATCTCTTTTTTTCTATTTTTACCTCTCTTTTCCCTCAAAAATCCATTTTTGATCCCTTTTTCCCTCAAAAATCTCCATTTTTTCCCCCTCTTTTCCCTCAAAAATCCCATTTTCAGCCCTCTTTTCCATCAAAAATCCCATTTTTACCCCCCTTTTCCCTCAAAAATCCCTTTTTGATCCCTTTTTTACCTCAAAAATCCCTTTTTGATCCCTCTTTTCCCTCAAAAATCCATTTTTGATCCCTCTTTTACCTCAAAAATCCTATTTTTATCTCTCTTTTCCCTCAAAAATCCATTTTTGATCCCTTTTTTCGCTCAATCTCCATTTTTTCCCCCTTTTCCCTCAGAAATCCCATTTTCAGCCCTCTTTTCCATCAAAAATCCCATTTTTACCCCCCTTTTCCCTCAAAAATCCCTTTTTGATCCCTTTTTTACCTCAAAAATCCCTTTTTGATCCCTCTTTTCCCTCAAAAATCCATTTTTGATCCCTCTTTTACCTCAAAAATCCTATTTTTATCTCTCTTTTCCCTCAAAAATCCTATTTTTATCTCTCTTTTCCCTCAAAAATCCTATTTTTATCTCTCTTTTCCCTCAAAAATCCTATTTTTATCTCTCTTTTCCCTCAAAAATCCTATTTTTATCTCTCTTTTCCCTCAAAAATCCTATTTTTATCTCTCTTTTCCCTCAAAAATCCTATTTTTATCTCTCTTTTCCCTCAAAAATCCTATTTTTATCTCTCTTTTCCCTCAAAAATCCTATTTTTATCTCTCTTTTCCCTCAAAAATCCTATTTTTATCTCTCTTTTCCCTCAAAAATCCTATTTTTATCTCTCTTTTCCCTCAAAAATCCTATTTTTATCTCTCTTTTCCCTCAAAAATCCTATTTTTATCTCTCTTTTCCCTCAAAAATCCTATTTTTATCTCTCTTTTCCCTCAAAAATCCTATTTTTATCTCTCTTTTCCCTCAAAAATCCTATTTTTATCTCTCTTTTCCCTCAAAAATCCATTTTTGATCCCTCTTTTACCTCAAAAATTCTATTTTTACCTCTTTTTTTCTATTTTTACCTCTTTTCCCTCAAAAACCCATTTTTGATCCCTTTTTTCGCTCAAAAATCCCATTTTTACCCCTCTTTTCTCTCAAAAAATCCCCTTCCGATCCCATTTTTCCCTCAAAAATCCATTTTTGATCCCTTTTTTCCCTCAAAACTCACATTTTTACCCCTCTTTTCCCTCAAAAATCCCATTTTTACTTCTTTTCCCTCAAAAATCCATTTTTGATCCCTCTTTTCCCTCAAAATTTCTATTTTTATCTCTTTTTTTCTATTTTTACCTCTCTTTTCCCTCAAAAATCCATTTTTGATCCCTTTTTTCGCTCAATCTCCATTTTTTCCCCCTTTTCCCTCAGAAATCCAATTTTCAGCCCTCTTTTCCATCAAAAATCCCATTTTTACCCCCCTTTTCCCTCAAAAATCCCTTTTTGATCCCTTTTTCCCTCAAAAATCCCTTTTTGATCCCTCTCTTCCCTCAAAAATCCCTTTTTTCCCTCAAAAATCCCTTTTTGATCCCTTTTTCCCTCAAAAATCCCTTTTTGATCCCTCTTTTCCCTCAAAAATCCATTTTTGATCCCTTTTTTCACTCAAAAATCCCTTTTTGATCCCTCTTTTACCTCAAAAATTCTATTTTTACCTCTTTTTTTCTATTTTTACCTCTTTTCCCTCAAAAACCCATTTTTGATCCCTTTTTTCGCTCAAAAATCCCATTTTTACCCCTCTTTTCCCTCAAAAAATCCCCTTCCGATTCCATTTTTCCCTCAAAAATCCATTTTTGATCCCTTTTTTCCCTCAAAAATCCTATTTTTACCTCTCTTTTCCCTCAAAAATCCATTTTTGATCCCTTTTTTCCCCTCAAAAATCCCTTTTTTCCCTCAAAAATCCCCTTTTCACCCCTCTTTTCCCTCAAAAATCCATTTTTGATCCCTCTTTTCCCTCAAAAAGGGGTAAAAGGAAAAAAGGGATAAAAAGAAAAATGGGATAAAAGAAAATGGGATAAAAGAAAAAATGGGATAAAAAAATGGAATAAAAGGAAAAATGGGAAAGGGGAAAAAATGGGATAAAAGAAAATGGGATAAAGAATATGGGATAAAAAAAAATGGGATGAAAGGAAAAATGGGATAAAAGGAAAAATGGGAAAAGGGAAAATGAGATAAAAGGAAAAATGGGATAAAATAAAACGGGGTAAAAGGAAAAATGGGATTAAAAAATGGGATAAAAGGAAAAATGGGGTAAAATAAAATGGGGTAAAAGGAAAAATGGGATTAAAAAATGGGATAAATGAAAAAATGGGAAAAGGGAAAATGGGATAAAAGAATAAATGGGATAAAAGAAAATGGGATGGAAGGAAAAATGGGATAAAAGGAAAAATGGGAAAGGGGAAAATGGGATAAAAGAAAATGGGAGAAGGAAAAAATGGGATAAAAGGAAAAATGGGATAAAGGAAAATGGGATAAAATAAAATGGGATAAAAGGAAAGTGGGAAAGAGGAAAATGGGATAAAAGGAAATGGGATAAAAGAAAAAATGGGATAAAAGAAAATGGGATGGAAGGAAAAATGGGATAAAAGGAAAAATGGGATAAAGGGAAAATGGGATAAAAGGAAAGTGGGAAAAGGGAAAATGGGATAAAAGGAAATGGGATAAAAGAAAAAATGGGATAAAAAAATGGGATAAAAGGAAAAATGGGATAAAAGAAAAAATGGGATAAAAGCAAAAATGGGATAAAGGGAAAATGGGATAAAGGGAAAATGGGAAAGGGGAAAATGGGAAAAGGGAAAATGAGACAAAAGGAAAAATGGGATAAAAGAAAATGGGATAAAAGCAAAAATGGGATAAAAGCAAAAATGGGATAAAGGGAAAATGGGATAAAAAGAAAGTGGGAAAGGGGAAAATGGGATAAAAGAAAATGGGATAAAAAAAAAATGGGATAAAAAAATGGGATAAAAGGAAAAATGGGATAAAAGGAAAAAGGGGAAAGGGGAAAATGGGATAAA